TGGCAACGGACGAGGTGGCCGAGTGGTTAAGGCGTTGGACTGCTAATCCAATGTGCTCTGCACGCGTGGGTTCGAATCCCATCCTCGTCGTTCGCTTTTTTGTTGCCTCGCAATAGGCTTTTTGCTCGAGTTTTCCATGTGATAACTAATATCAGTATCGTTCGCAATTCTCATTTTGAATAATACACGTAAAGATATTTAAATTCAATTTTATATTTTAATGCAACATATAATATATGTACATATATATGCATAATATACACACATTTATGCGCAGAATATAAGCTTCTTTTACATTTTTCCACGAATAATTCCTCCTATAAACAAATAATTTTAATAAATAATTTTTATAAAATTTTCTTCTTTTAGATGGGTGCAATATTTAGTAATGATTTATTAATGTATGATGTAATATGTGATGCAATACATTTATGAAAAAAATTGTATTCGTGAAAAAATTGAGGGAATATCGAACGATATCTTATGTAATATATATTATGCAATAATTTGCACGAATGATTTGTTGTAAAACTGGTAGAAATCTTTTTGCCGTGCATCATAAAAATAGCAAATAAAACAGATTATTTATGAAAACGTGTTCTGAAACGAGAAAATAAACGAAAACTTCTTACGCTTGTTATTATTCATTATGTTCTTTGAAGAAAATATGAATCATATGTAGAATATTAGAATATAAGAATATCATATGTAACACATAGTAATATTCTGTTTTTCAATATTTGTTTTATTAAAAACAATAATAGTAATATTATAATAATAATAATAATTGTGTAAACATATGTCATAATAATTATAATTTAATATTACATAAGAAATATTTATATCACGTAAAAATTTTACAGATATTTTTATATAAAAAAATATTATAGAAAATATTATATTGTAGTATTCTTACAAATTTTTTGTGACTCAGAATTATTTGTAGAATTCATTAAATTTTTTAATTAAAATTTTTACATAAAAGAAATAAAAAATTAAATCCGTACATTATCTTGCACGACGTTCAATCTACTCGTAACTATTAATTCTAATTCTTAGTCGATGCAAGATAAAAGATTGATGCTTGAATAGACTGATGCATTCATTAAAGACGAATATTTTTGCTCCACTAACAATGTAGCTAGTTATGTGGTTTTGTGGTTGATTACGTAAAATTGAAACGTGTTTTGGAATTGTTTGTGCAAATTATATGCCGGCCATTTGAAGTAACAATCGCGATCGAATTACATTTTAATATGTATTTTCAACAATCTGTGCAGCGAAAAAAAGTGATAAATTATTATGAATTTATAATGAACATTTGTACGATGCATACAATTTATAGATTTATAGAATATTTTCCGCATTCTATATTTTTGCCATCATCGTTTAATTTCCACTTTTTTCCGAAATAGCTTCATTAAATATACAGCAATTAAAATTGCGGGTTTGTTTCGTTCACTGTAATTTATATTGTAATAAAAAATGTATCAAGATGAATAATATTTAAAAAACAACATTTGACGCAATGGAAAAATTAGCAAACAATTATTATTTTTTTATATATTTCTATTTTTTATTTTTGTTTTTACGAATATAATAAATTGTTTTACGATTATAAAAAAATACATTTTTTGTCAGCTATACTTGAATACACTTGAAAAAAAGTAATGTAGAAAATAAGAAAATACAAAAATTAAATATGATATTATATAAAACTTACAAGTTTTTCTTATACATTTTTTTTATATTAAAATGTCTTCTTATTTTTATGTCTATGATGATGTGAAATTTTACGAAAATAAATTCCATCAATTTTATTAAAATACATCGACTCGTTGTTATATTTGTAACTCGATAATGTTAATTGCTAATAGATTAATCTTGCAGCTAATATTCTCGCATTAATTGCAGTTTCCAATGCAATGTGCTGCTATAATTTAGCACGATAATCACATTGTTCAATTGTGAATTGATTTATATCTTACAATGTGTAGCGAAATACAATTACTCACACATTTCTCGCAATATCGAGTAATGATACATTGTTTTACAAACATTTCTCCATTGTACATCGTCTTTTATTGACTAATTGATAAGCTAAACAAAATTCAATTCACTATAAACATGTTATATGTATGCGGTTGTATATTATACGCTATACTGAATATTATACGCTATACTTTAAAAATATTGTTCAGAATATATACATATATGTATGTCCATTTATAACTAACAATAGTAGTATAATCAAGTGCACACACATACACATTAATGGTGCATTTATGTTTACATTTCATGACACATCAGTTCTTTGTATTCTTTGCAAACATGAGAAACACGTACAAATTATTAATCATTACGAAAAAATAAAGTTTTTAAAACTTAGAAAGACATTTTATCATTGAAAGTGTAATGCATCGTAATGCACATTAATTATATATACATACCTACAATACGTTTGGGCATATATATATATATGTATAAACATGTATGTATATACGTATTATCTTAATTGAAAATATTTATCCGTAAATACTTATTTGTTATCTGATATTCTACAAGTGGATCGAAACATATAAATTAACTATATCTTCTTGTCTATAGAGATAATGAGTTTACTATAATAATATAAAATATATCAAAATAGAATAAATAATAACTTTGTTATCTGGTACTCTCAAGTGGATCGAAACATTTTTCTTTTCTTTATTATTTATATAAATTAATTATATCTTCTTGATTAATATTAATATTTTGGGCTCGTATAAATCAAAATGATAATTATAAAAAAGGAAGGCCAACTTCAACGAGCTATTAGTAATAATTAGATGTCAAAAAATAAAATGTTAGTTAATGATTATTGCCATAAGAGTCTTACAAATCATTACAACTGTAAACGTTTCGACTGCACTACAGTCTTATCAATACATAATTTTAAAACCAATATAAATTCACAACAATATGTTAAAATAATGTTTTATTTGGTATCATCCGAATGAAAAAATTAATTAAGAATACAAAACTACATAATATAACATCCATGTCTATATTGTAGTTTTAGACATGGATGTTATGTAGTTTTGTATTCTTAATTAATTTTTTCATTCGGATGATACCAAATGACACATTATTTTAACATATCGTTGTGAATTTATATTGATTTTAAAATTATGTATTGATAAAGACTGTAGTGCAGTCAAAACGTTTACGGTTGCAATGATTCGCCTTGTAAGACTCTTATGGCAATAATAATTAACTAACATTTTATTTTTTGACATCTGATTATTAATAGCTTGTTGAAGTTGGCCTTCCTTTTTTATAATTATCATTTATACCTTCTTGTCTATAGAGATGATGAGTTTACTATAATAATATAAAATATATCAAAATAGAATAAATAATAATTAAATATGTATATATTATATATTTGGATAAATAAAATAAATTTTAAGTTCATAAATTTTCTTATATATTGTCAAATATGAAGACATTTTATTTTAATTATTTTAAATATAGATCATAAGACCATCATAAAAATTATGTATTAATGTAAATATAATTTAATTCGAAACAATTTTTGATTGGTAGCCGATTAATCAAGAATAAAAATATCTTTTGTGAAACTTCTTCGAGAATTCAAAGATACAATTTCAACTATAGAGCATCTAAAAATAATGAAATTTTAAGATTTCAACATTTGACTTGAAAAATTTCAGCATCCACAAATATAATATATATCAAAAGATTGAGAAAAATCTTGTAATATCTTTATCGTATTATAAATGATATCGAAAATCGTGGAGTACTTCGAGGAGTGACGTGAGGATACTCTGCAGGCGGGCAACTCCGAAGTTGTGAACGAACCACCAAGATTAATCGGGAATCTGATACAGAAACACTTGAAGCTCTTATGACAACGTGACAACATCCGCTGAGCAGCTCTGCTATATCTCGACGTTAGTGATCAAAGTTTAGTTGTGCTCTCACTAACACATATTTCCTGTCGTAATAGTACTTAATTATATTATAATCTTTATATCGCATATCTTAATTAACTTTATTGACACACTCTTACCCGTACGGATAATCACGATGCGTAACAAATTTTGCGTTAATTGCTTCAAGGCTCAAAACAGAGACAAACAATAGCAGGAAGCTATATACGCTATCACATACTAGATTAGATTGTAATTAGTGTGTTAATCATTGCGTATTTTTAGTGATTTTTGTAATTTATGCGAAAACTAAATTATATATATATATATTTCAAGTAATTTAAACGCACAAATTGTGATAATTGTAAAACTATTATTTTCCATAATTTATAGATAGATTTAATAATTTAAATAATTTAGCAAAATAAAGTACCTTTATTCATATATAAATAAATTATACTGATTTCCTCGTCAATCTTACAATATAAAAAAAAATGATGAGATAAATAATTAACATATATACATATTATGTTATATATGCGTACTTTAAAAAATATATGTTAAAACATATTTATATATGCATATACGTACACATAAATTTACATACATATATATGAAAAATTGTAACTATTCTAATGTTTTATTAAATATTTTTTGCAAAATTTTGGCACATAAAATTGATCAAAATTAAATTGCTCTCTCAAATAACTGAAATAACTATAGAGAATAATATAATTTATTATATAACCCTTCTATATTTAAATGTGTGTCATAAACTTAGTTTTGTGCACTGTTAGTATCAAGATTTGATATCGCAGTATTTGAAATAAAAAATTATATAATTTTTATGTTACAAGATCAAGAAGTTGACTCGAATATATATATATATATATATATATATATATATATATATATACATATATAAGTAAACTTATTATCGAATCTATTACAAAATAATATTGTTCAGTGACAGAAAGAAATTAGTATACAACAGATGCCCATATCAGCCACGTGCATATACGATATCGAGCGATGGACGAGTTCGAGGTCGTAAAAACTAGCATGCCACATTTATACGTCACCGCTCGCGGAATACACACGTGACCGTGTTGGATCGCAAGCACTCTGTTTTATCGACTCTTTTTTATCTCGACAAAGGATTCGTGCTTCTCGTGTACGAAGGACGGATGTGGCGTGCGCCGACAGATCAAAACATTTCTTCGTTTCTCTTGTGTATTCTTTGATAACGCGTGAAATGTCACTTTCACAAAGAAGATTTGACGAGTTGACACCGCTTCTCTCGAGTGAGTTTTTCTTTTAATTCTCTCAGATACATTTTTTGCGCATTTCGTCATTTGCACTTTGATCGATTCGACTATCACTTCCGCGTTATTCTTTGTCATGATACATACATGATTGCAAAATTATTATGAATAAATAATATAAATAGTTAATTGATATCGTTTTACGAATAATTTTGTGTGTACATGTAATTTTTATTATTATATGTATTTTTCCATATTTTATAATAATTGATTTTATTTTTAAAAATTTTATTTGTAATTTTTATTATTTTTATTCTGTTTAGATAAAAATATTAGTGTTTTATTTAAAAAGTATTAATTTATCACATAAATTTTCATCTTTCACATATCAATGAATGTCTATTTATTTAATTTGTTAATATAATGTTTCGAAATTAAAAAATTTTACAATAACAAATCTAATCAAAATTAAGTCAATATTACTTCTTCCACATGGTATTATTGTTAAATAAAACATACTGTTTCCGTGGAGCAGTCGTGGCCGAGTGGTTAAGGCGTCTGACTAGAAATCAGATTCCCTCTGGGAGCGTAGGTTCGAGTCCTACCGACTGCGAAAAATAATTTTTTTTTAGAGAAATATGAAAATAACTGAACATTGTGCTATATATTTTTTCGAATATAATTTTTAGATTGAGAAAAACTTTAAAAGTTGCCGATACTGTAAAAACTATGAATGCTATAAGCTGTAAGAATGTATTTTTTTTGTGAAAGAAATTAAAATATATATATTTAAGAAATACATTTTAAATTATTCCTTAAAAAAAAATACATTATTAATAATTTAGCTTGTTAGATTTTGTGCAAGGATAAAGTGCATTTGTTTAAAGAAATAATTTTATTTAGATATCTTTATCATTTGATATAATACATAAATAATTAAAAATATATGAAGACAATTAAAATAAATAAAATTAAAAGTAAACAAATAATTTGTTTGTGTGATAAAGGTAAAATAAACTATTATGCAAAATAATGATAATAATGATATGCATAATAAACTATTCGAGAAGTTAAATAATGTAGTGCTATTTCTTTCTTTTAAGCCATTTTCAAAGTTTCGCAGACAGCGGTGTAGCCTACAATTGTTTATTTATCTTCTTCTCTTGTAATAGTAGTCATAAGAGCTCGACAAACATGTCAAAGTATCGACGCGTGTACTCTGATGATTAATCAAAATCTTTTTTCCACATATCACGTCTCGACGACAGTAATCAATTAATCTTGCTACTTCTGTTTTTTTTTAAGACAGAGAGAAAATTTGATGATATTATGCTGTGATATTTTTAAACTTTGAATTTTATTAGTTCATATTATTATATTTTATGCATCATATTTTACACAAAAATGTTTAACAAAATTATCAAAATTGTGATATATGTGTGTACATACACATATACATACAGTCTATGACTTGTTTTTATAAAATTTTTTAAATTATATATAAAATATATAATATATATACATATAATTCAAATTGATATATATACGTATATATATTTTATCGCGATATTTCTATTTTTAATGTATAAAAATTTGTTTTTTATATATTACATGAAACTATAATATTTGTTTTTGAATGATATTACATAAGTATATAATTTTGTACATTTGTTACAGAAAAACTTTTGGCGATTAAAATTCTTTCTCTCTTCTTTTTAGTGATGATGAATTCTTTTAATCGATACAGAGAAAATGACGAGAAAAATTAATTGCTAAATTTTACTGAATTACTCGGACCGAAAAATTTTCGACAACCAAATTTGTCTTAGCACATTCTTTTTTTTCTTTTAATTTAATTCTGATATATCCAATTAATTCCATAAGATTTCTCAGATAAATCTCTCATACAAATTTCACGTGATCTTGTGTACATTTCACTGAATGTCCGATAGTATAGCATTTGTTGCGACATTGTCGCATAATAAAGCTATAATATCTTGGAAATCACGAGAACCATAACGTTTGTTAAACATTTTCCCGTGATGAGATTATAAGGATAAATCATCTGCCTATCTATTTAAGACAGCCTTATCTCGATTATTGCTATATGTATATGATACTGGCACTTAATAAATGTTATCGCGATGGTAATCATGTAGTTAAAAAATCATTGTCTTTATAAATTTATTGTCTTTTCACCGCGAGTTATCGAGAGCGCAAATCGAGAACGTATCAGTATTTGATAAACTCTGCACTGAACAGAAAGTCTGGATTGCATTTTTAAGAAAGTTTTTCTCGAAAGTTTAACCGATAAAGCTGCAGTTTGAAAAACGACTGAAAAAAATTATATATATATTTTGTGACTTGTTCGTCATTAAAAGTTTCACCATTGGGAGTTATGTGCTAATAATAAGAAGAAATTAGGACGTACTGAAACTATGATGCTATGTACGTATATAATTCATGAAATAATTTATTATAGGTATATTCTAGATTCTAGGATAATAAATTTATTATTTAGTAAAATGAGTATTATATAGTTGTTAGAAAGTAGTATCTGCACGTGTTATGATTTTTTAATATCAATTTAATATCACGAATGCACAGAGGATATTTGATATTGTACTTAATTGTCAGTAGAACATGACAAGTGACTATGATTAGTTAATAATTTTGCACAATCTGTGGCGTGATATGACAGCAACGATGATAACCTGTTTAGACGTAGATATAATTAAAAATTATCGATGTAATTAAAACGTGACAAATATCTAACTTTTATGTATGATAAGTAATAACATAAGCAATATCGATAAGGCTTACATAAGGTTACTGAACAAAAAGTTATTTAATACAAAGAGCAACAAAAGTGCATTAAATATACATAAATAACAGAACATTTCTTTTTACGAAGAATTATCTTTGTAACTGTTTAGTTAATTTTCAGTTTTCCAGTTTAAGATATCTTATATCGTTTTAATATTATTATTTTTTATTATTATTTTTCTAAATCTTTAATATTATCATCTTTACACATTTTATATTAGCAATCTTATTTTTGTACAATTGTTTTATTTTTATTATTATGGATATTACATAATGGATCAATATATATATACATATTTTTTCTGCATCTTCGTCTTAATTACAAGATTGACTAATTTGAATTTTAATAATTTTTACAATCTTTCGTCTTGATATGTACATTCGTTATAAATCATATGCACGCAGGGCCGAATGTTACACTCTCTTGGAGTTGCAACCTCAAGGGGCTCTTTCTACGGAGAATACCGATTGTAACATGGCTGCCTCTGTACAGTTGGGGCAAACTTCTGCAGGACATTTTGGCAGGGTTGACAGTGGGTCTGACCGCGATACCGCAGGGCATAGCGTATGCAATAGTGGCTGGACTTCCGGCTCAGGTGCGTACGCGATACGAATGTTCTTGCGACTGCCGTGTGTATACTTGCCGCATGTAAACTTATTCACTCTCGAGCTAAAACTATCATTGAATTTTAGCTTTGGCTTGTACACAGTAATTCGGAATATATTTTAAAGTTAATGATGATATATTCCAATTTAAAAATAAAGATCACATTTAACCTACGAGGGCCGATTTTTCCAACTTCTCGGTAAGTTTTACCTGACAGGTAGCATATTTTCGTCTCTTTTCAGATAAGTTCTAAAAAAGAGACAAATATATGCTACTTGTCGGGTAAAACTTACCAAGAGTTGGAACAACCGGCCCCAATAGTTGGAAAGGCGACTCTCGTTAGGTCAACTTTTACAAACTTCAGTATGGCCTGTATAGCAGTTTCATGGGTTGCTTCGTTTATCTGGTCTTCGGTAGCAGCAAAGATGTCACGGTGGGTCCTACCGCGATAATGGCTCTATTGGTGCAAAAGCACGTGATAAAACTGGGAGAAGATCTCGCCGTAAGTGGAACTTATATTAATCTCGGAGAAACTTTATTTACCACATTTTATTCTTTACAATTATTATTATTAAACACACTTTTATTATTTTTATAACATTGTGCCGTGTTAATTTGTCAATATATTTTTGTTTATTTTTAGAAAAATATATAATTTTTACATTCTTATTATTTTTCTAGGTTCTCATGTGCTTTTTATCCGGTGCTGTGATTACAGTCTTGGGAGTGCTTCACTTGGGATTTCTCGTAGATTTTATAAGTATGCCCGTAATTTGTGGCTTCAGTAACGCTGCGGCAATTATTATCGCTGCTTCTCAATTGGGTACTTTACTGGGCATAAAGGGGCGCAGCGAATCCGTCATTGACGCTATCTCAAAAGTCATCGATCACATAAATGAAATTCAACTTTGGGATACTGTGTTAGGAGTGTGTTCGATGATGGTACTGGTTCTCCTAAAGGTAAATTGACTGTATTTTAATTAATCACAAAGAATTCCTTTTTAAAGAAAATGCTTCCAAAATTTCATCAATATTTTCTTCGAAATCATCGAAATCTTTTAGTACCCGAGTCAATTTTATTTTATATATGTATTTACTGGAATATAAAATGCATTGAATTATATATTAGATCATATATTAGAGAATAATTTTATAATTCTTCTTATATATAGTTTTCATAAAATCAATGCACAATTTTTGCTGTAGAGAGTCACTATTTTAATGAGATATAATTAAAAATATAATTAATAAAATAAAATATTTAAAAATGTAGCAACTACCTGGCAAAAAATCGGGCAGGCCTTTTGAAAAATTCATGTGGCTACTTTCGTTGGCCAGAAATGCTATAGTTGTGATGATTGGGACTATCATAGCCTACGTGCTATTTTCTTACGACATCAAGCCTTTTCAAATTACGGGCAATATAACTGAGGGCTTGCCACCGCTTTCCTTACCTCCATTCACCGTCACCAAAGGAAATGAGACGTATACTTTTGTAATGTTGATCGGAGAGTATGGCAGTAGCATCATCTCAATACCACTCATTGCTATTTTGGAAAGCATCGCGATCGCTAAGGCATTTGGTGAGTACATTTTACTGGCAAATTTCATTTAAACAGATTTTTTAAAATAAACTTTTAATTAACTTTGATGTAATAGAAACTATATCGCTATCTATGAATCCTTCTCTCTCTTTAAAAAGCACTTTAATTGCGTTTTCAATTTTGAAATATAAATCTTTAATCAAATTATTTTAACAGACTATTTCTTTCGCTAGTATACAAAATTAATTATCTCGTTATAAATTGAGGAATAATTACATTATGAATTGGCAGTTTCAATGGAGAAATAAAAATACATTTATCATTAATAATATTCGTTCTATACTATAACGTTATAGTTAAAATATCTTTTTAAATAGATTATAAAGTTATTTTTGCATTGCGCCTTTCAATAGTATTTCGTTCCGATAATTTTGCGATATGTCTGAAAACAATTAATTTTCAGCAAAAGGCAAGACTCTTGATGCTAATCAAGAGATGTTAGCGCTCGGTCTCTGCAACGTATTTGGCAGTTTTGTGAGATCGATGCCCGTAACCGGAAGCTTTACTCGTACAGCCGTCAACAACGCATCCGGTGTCAAAACGCCGATGGGCGGGATGATTACGGGTACTTTGGTGCTTTTGGCATGTGGCTTGTTGACGTCCACTTTTAAATTTATTCCCAAAGCTACGCTGGCGGCCGTCATCATAATCGCCATGTTTTACATGTTCGAGATACAGACTTTTATCGTTCTTTGGAGAACAAAAGTAAGGCAATTAACAATTTATAGATAGATATCTTCCGTATTACGCAATTTAAATTTCAATATTTCAAGTTTTCTCCTTTAAAATGTTTTTTCAATATTTTATTTTATAATTTCACGGCACACCGATAAAAAATATTGAAATTTTTGATTTGTACAATATAGTTTGATACGTGAAAGTAGAATTTTTTGACAATTTGGAATTAATTCGAATGCATGAGCACAAATATTTATTTTTTTTTTAACCAATATGTTTCTCTGTGTTTTGGAATGATTGTCACAAAATCCTTATTTTTTTAATTACTTTGATATTGTTGTGCGCAGTTTAAATCATTTATGATTTATTATATTAAAAACAATGAAATTGAACTTAATTAAGAAATTCAAAAGTTAAAGGAAAATGAATTTTACATTTTAAAAATCATAAAAAGTATAAATGAAATATAAATAAAAATATAATATTGTGAATATAATAGCAAATAAACTTCAACTGATTAAAAGTAAATGTTTGATTTCGATTCTTTTCTTATTGTATATCTATTTTTTTCTTTAGTTGTAATTATATATTAAATATATCCGACAGTCTTGTCTGGATAATGTAAGATACACCGAAACGTACAAATATCAGGTCACACAAAGCATTAAATATAGCTCGTTATAAATTATCCGGCGGTTAATCTAATTTCTCTCTACGTCTTCTCCGTTCTCTGGCGTTGAACAGAAATCGATTTGGTGCCATTGACGGTGACGTTATTATGTTGCTTGGCGGTCGGTTTGGAGTACGGTATGATCGCCGGGATTGCGGTAAATCTAATTCTCTTACTCTATTTCGCGGCCCGGCCCGGGCTATTGATCGAGGAGCGAATCGTCGATGGTTTGACCGTGCTCTTCGTATCGCCCAAGCAATCCCTGAGTTTCCCGGCTGCGGAGTATCTCCGAGAGCGAGTAATGTCGTGGTAAGTTTCGCCGCAAATCCGTGTAAGAAATGATTCGAATATACGCACACGTATACCGGGTGTTTTGGAAAAGTGTACGTGCGAATAAATATTCCGAATAAATATATTAAAATATCTTATTCTTTATATATTTGTATTTTTGCGACTTTCATGATTAATAGTTTGAAAACTGTATAGAGTCTCGATATATAATTTTTCGCTAAAGAAAAGTTAGCTGCAAATCTTGTCACGAGGCAACGCTACACACTCGTACCTTCCGCTTTTCCAGATCCTGTGTGCGTATCACAAAGAGACATTTATTTCCGGTTTTGTTTGCGTGTTTAGGTGCGATAAGAAACTGGAAAACTTGCCCGTGATAGTGGAGGGTCGCCATGTGCTTAGGATCGATGCCACAGTCGCGAAAAACCTGGCGCTACTCGTATCGGATCTCGCGTCGCGAGATCAAAAGCTCATTTTTTGGAATTGGTGCGAGGATGCCAAACAGACTTTGATATGTTACGATCCGTCACTCGCGGCCTGTTGCAGATCGTCTGGCACCATAACGCAGATATTTTCAGGTACGTAACATTTCAGATTCTCATTTCGCTGCTTTTTTTTCAAAAAACTGCTCGCTAACATTTTCTTTGATATATATTCTCTGACCTAATATTTCTTTTTTCAATTTGATTAAAAGTATAATATACAAATAAGATATATAAAACATGAATTCTTGCCCCGTTATATAGAATTAATGTCCCGTCAGTTTGGAAATATTTTATAATAATTTACGATTATTTACGGCAATTTTCGATAGAAGATTACGTGTCAACATTTTTCGCGCTCCATAAAATTGATGATTGCTCGCGAATCGTTAATGGATATTCGGAAATTTCCGGAAGAAAGAGAAAGAGAATAAATAAATAGAAAAATAGAGAGCTCCTCGAAGGGGATCAATAGGAATTTCGTATTCGGTCCAAGAAAGTTTTTTTAAGTCGTCGCGGAAGTCTCATCCATCCGTTCTCGGCGGACTCGTACCGGGAGGGATTTTGCATTGCGGCTATGTATGCAGCCGCGCATCGAACATCATGGGCATTTACGCGGCGACCTATACCATCACGTATGCGCATACCGAATCACTTATGACAGCTTTGCCCCTTTTTCCCTCTAGGGAAACCACCCGTCGCCTCGTGGCTGATATTACACTTCGAACGTACACCATATTGTTTCTATCGTATATATAAGGCTCGCTCTAGAGCGGCGATTCATATAATAAAACTTGCACTCTTCGAAACTCGATGCGTTTTATTTCGTATAAAATAGAATTTTCATAATGCCTTATAGTAGAATCGATCGGGATATGTTTTCTAAAATCATTCGCAATCTAATATACATGTTCTGAATAACCGTCTAATTGTATTATACTTTTTTAATACTTGTTTCTAAGTATTGATAACAGCTATTAGTGTAGTTTGGAATCTACTGGATGGCTTTGTCAAGATTATTTTATTGATTCCGCAGACAATTATTTATTTATCGCTCAGCAAGCATTTTTATTTTGTAGCTTTAAGTAAACTTTAGTTGAATATTAAACAATTTCATGTGCCTTCTATTGGCGCGATGATATAGCCGCATTAAATGATATCATTATATTTTATAATGACAATTTTATATGACAATAATTGCAAAAGCAATAATTTTTCTGTTTCTAGACGAAACTGTAATTTGCTGATTGACTCGATAAAAGCTACTGCCATAACAAATGTATATTTGCTATAATTTCAAAGATAAATTATTAGATGTCGTTTTAGCTCAAATCGTTTAATTAAATAGTTTATTGGTATGTCATATATAAAATACAAACAAAGTTGATGTAAAATATGTAAATGTAAAAATAATATATTATTGTACATAAACGCTTCGAAAATAATTGCAAACTATTTTTTATGCATTCACAGCGCTCCCCTTGTGCATTCAACAGTGCAAATTTATGTACCCTGATGTGAGCGATAATTAGATTAACCAAGGAAACTATGTATAAATTTTATATATATATACATATATGAATATTGATAAATATTATTTTTATCATCGGGAAGGCGACAGACGTGTTACATCAACGACAAGGTTGTTAGCCTCTATTTTATCATGTTTCTTTATAGGGCGGACAATCTCTTTTTCTAGATCAGTTAATAATATCTCACTATATTCAAAATTATTTATTCGAAACTAAAAACAAAAATCCTCATTATAATTAATATTTTAACTTATGATCTGATACATACAGACACACACTTATTTTTCTTTTTCTTAACTGAAACTAAGTAATTTCTGAATATATATATATATATATATATATGTTCTTTTTTAGTAATTATGCATATTACGCGTTATTATATTTTATAATCGCATGATAGGAATAGGAACGTACATTACGTACGTTGAGTTTTGCATAATTAAAATATATTATGCGAGTGCTCGGATAATATATTTTGATTGTGCAAAAACAGTGCCTATAGATTTAGCTTGTATTAATTATGTATATAATTATATACACAAGAATTGGCGCAACATTATAAATGCCGTTTATAATGTGTAAATTATCATTTTTGTACATTAAATTATATTAGTTCATATTTATAAAATATATGAAAGAAAATCGTGTTTTATCGGAATGTTGTTTTTAATTTCGATAATGGTAATATTGTTTGGAAAATTTTATATTATTGTACGTATATAGCGTTAAATGGTATTATATATAAATATAATATTGTGGATATATAAATTAAATTTACATTAAATAACACCTAAAATTTTAGATCCATAATACGCGACAAAATTTAAAACTCATTTGAATTTTTATCGCGAATTCTGAAAGAGAATTAGAGTTTCAATTTTTATTTTCTTTCATATCTTATCACTTAGTTTGTACATCTAAATTATCTACATTAATTGTATACGATATATGCATAAAATTGTACAACTGAAAAGATTGCGACTATAAATCGAACGTATCGAAAAATTGGCGGTCGCGCGCGGCGTTAATTTTTCGATACGAGAATTCTCGTCTTCTCTCGAATAGAGATACGTTTGTAAAATTTAGATAAATGATGTATATACATTTGGTGTCCCACACTGTTACACCGACACCAATGTTTCTCATCCCGTCTGTCTGTCTGTCTGTCGAATTGTCGAATCCGTCGCAACGCGATAGAGAAGCGAACGCAATCGTATCGGTCGGATATCGCATCCGGCCTCTGAATTCCGAACGCGCCCTTTCGCCGCCGCAGGTGCGCGCGCATGCGCGCGGCGCGCGACCAATCGCAGCGGCGGGTGGGTAGAGGGTGCTCGGATCGATGCGGCGGTCGTCGAGCGCGTTCACGTCGCCGACGACGTTTCGGTCTCGGTCTTTCGGTTCGCCTTCGCTCTCGGTTTCGCGCGGCTCGATCGTCGTGCGTCCGTTGACGATTAGCCGATCGACGATTACATGTGTGCGCGTTTTTCCATATATTTACCTCTGTCCGTCTGCCTATATACTCGCGGCCTGCCCGGTGTACTACTCTCTTTCTACTCTCGGCTCGAGTCGCGCGAATTTTGCCCCCTTTTTTTTCTCCACCCCCGGATCGCGCGTGATAGAGCGCCGTATACTACCCTACATTTCTCTGTTTATCCGCCCCGATAATCGGAGACGTTCCAGAGATATCGTCGTCGCGATATGAGCACGAGACACACGGCCCCCAGCAACGATGACAGCTGTCAGAGGGATGTCGAGGCACCACTGCCGAGCGATAGGACGTCGCGTGGATCGCGAGAGTTAATTGTGAGTAACACTTTTCTCCTTATGATCTCTTATCTCGCCTTTAGTCTTCGGAGGGTGCATATCTGAGAGTATACATATTATTTGCAAAGCTTTGTCAATGATATATACGCGATCGGATATGATGCATGCGAGATATGCGCGAGGGTTGAAGCCGAGCCGTTTGCTTTGCTGCAGACCGAGGTCGGTGTTCGGTCTACTACATATGTATATGCATATTATATGTGCGCGTGGCTCGATATTTTATTTTCTCCTTCCGCTTTTCTTCTCGTCCCTCATGGAGCGAAACGGAGCTTTTTTTACTCCAGACGTTTCTTCGCAAATTGATTCGCCCCTCGCGAGATTCGCGTAACCGCTGCTCGCAACTTAAGTGCTAAATCATCGACCGTGTTTTCTAGGTGGAAAAGAATAGCATTCGGGGAAGAATCTTGGAATGTGTCTGGGTTTATAAAGATGAAAGTTTGGGAAAGAATCTCTCTCTCTCTCTTATGTACGCGTTTCAATAATAAATGTACAATTTACGCATTAGAGCTTCAAAATGCGTCACAAACGCATTTCAGAACTTTCAGAAAATTCATAAAAATTTTTCAATTTTTTTCCGCTTTATTTTTACTTCCTTGCAAAAAAAAATTCTTAATGGATTTTTTTTATTGAAAATTTGAAAGTGCTAGATTAATTTATAGTTTAATTATTTCTTTTCCACATTTTTAATTGTATTATTATATTTTTTTACTATAGATATATCTAGATTAATCCTTGCATGCTTATTTTACAGAGCAAGCTTTATTCAATTTATGCGATATGGTTAATTAAATCGAGTAATAGTTAACCCTTTTCCAATGTAATCGTCTTATACGTAACAATATCGACGAGATATTTTAGATATATATATATATATATATATATGTATATGTATCATTTATTTACTTTCTATACTCTATCAAAAATGTATCAAAAAAAGTATATGAACAATTACTTGAAAAATTTCGCTCAAAAACAAATGTTAATTTTTAATTATGTAAATGTAAAAAAAACAGACCCTCAAGGGTATTTACTTTTCTAACACGAACGGAAAAATTGTCTTTTAAATCTCTTGTAACTCAGATTTTTATTCTCGTCTCGAGTACGCATATAACGTAACAGTATATAAAATATATGTGATACAAAATATATAAAATAATAATTTATATGACAGAAGAAGACATTTTTCTTAGCAAAAATTTGCGATGCATAAAATGCATTTGAAACATGTTCGAAATATTGCTATACGCATGATAACGATATCAGCAATTTTTTTTTATCATGCGACACTGCATTTTGACGTTATCCGCACAGGAATAGTAATATACATATACTTTTAATGTAACTCCCATACATTTGATTGTATATCATCGCTTTAATCCGATTCTCATCATTGCCATAAAGGCGTTGTCAATAAAAATACGGATAAATATACCATGTGATGTCATATCAGTTGTCGGCGACATGCCCAACAATATTTCAATATCTAATTTGGATACTTTATTATCGATATATTATTATTGTTTTATTATATGCATATGCATTTGCATATTAAATTAATGGAAATAAAAGTTGAACTTATATACATGAACTAATAATAATAACGAAGATAGGAAATTATATCTGCTGCGAATATTCTAGTACGCAATTACATACATGTATGTAATTACAGGTACAAACGAGTAAGCAAATTTTTTAATAATTTTCGTGTTTTATTCTTTTAAACGGATATAACGTCGCGACCCAGTTTCATATACCAACGATATTTTCTAGTAATTGCTTTTTCAATATATAATTTCTCGTTTAGTTAATTCCGTACGCAACTAACACAGAATCGAATAAAATATATATCATATCGCAATTTATATTCGAGATGCTACAATACATCGTCTAGTATATTGAAAGAAATTCGACACTTTGTATACGTTTGTCTCTGTCCATTAATTGTTAGTTATAATTACATTTGAAAATAAACAAGTTGTAGCCAGTAACTCTGGACAAAGTTGGAATTTCATATAATATATCACGGGTTTGCATTAAGCGAATATAATATTATTCACACGGGGAGAATTTTCTCTCAGAATTTACCCAGAAAATCATGGTAATTGTATGGGACAATATAGTATTGGAAGTATTTTATGAGTTTCTCTGATTAAAATGTTTACTACAATAAAAATATTAATATGTATATATAGTAAAATTAATTGAACATATTTTATATCTTAAGATACACTGAAAAAAAGATATTAAATGAATAAATATTTATTTTAATACTGCCTAATAAATCATTTATTTGAAACAAATATTTATTTGTTTTGAAAATGATTTTCTTATATCAAATAAATATTTTTCACATCAAATCGATATTATTAGTTTCAAATAAATGATTCATTTGGCAGTATTGAAATATGCGAATTGAATAAATTTTTTTCAGTGTTTGAATATTTTTGATTGTGGAAAAAATAATAATCAGAGAAAGTCTTATATAAAATTCCTGATTTTCAGGGTAAATTATAAGAAAAATTCTCTCTGTGCAGTATTAGATGTCATTACTATGCATAGTATTAGATATTGAAATCTCTTGTATCAACAACTTTTCTTCGAGTTTTCCCAATGCAAAATAGCAATGAAAAACAAAGCATTCCCATCACCATCGATATCTACTGGGACAGTTTACTGACCGATTTTCCCTATTGCCCGTTGATGTAATCCCGACGGATAAAGGTTCGGACGATGCATACGAATACTAGATAAAACGACCTCGAGTTGATAAGAGGATTGAGTGTCGCACTACATGACACACTCGTACGCGTGTACCACATTTGTATCGAGAGCGAATAAAATTATCCTTTTTTTCATTTGGGCGCGTGCCATTTATGAAAAATTCAATTCTTTTGTCTTTATCAATCGTCGCGATAGCTGCGTCGTTCCCGTGCAGGAAGAGATGGAAATCGCGAATACAAATATCGTGCGTATGGGAATGTTGACATTTACGTTAGCCTGGATTTTCGTTACAATCTTTCATTTACAGGGATTCTTACATATGCGTAAAAATAAATCGAATTATAAAATAAACATAAAATAGAAAATAAAAATAGAAAATAATATAACATAAAATAAAATAAAAATTTTCCGAATTATATTTCCGAGAATGAAATCTCGTACAGTGTTCTTATCCTTTTATGTCTTATTTGCACATTAAGATAATGATGTAGACTCATACAATCATATTATATATTTGTCATCTGTAATTTTAAATGGACATTGTTATCAGACGTTATTAAAATTTATTGATTTCGTTAGCAATAAAAGCACACAAATGACATCATAAATTTTTTCTAGATGATCGATATATAATATCAAAGTCCTCGAGGCCATTCGGTATATGAATATGTGAAAAGTATATAAATTAATAAAAAATTTATTTTACAAGGGCAACAAGCCGTATATACAAGTACGTATATTAATCGTACACCAACTTCTCTAACAATAACATAAATTAAAGAAAAAATTATCACTGACAAATTAGCGAAAATTTATTTTATGCTCATTTTTACTCTGTCCGACATTTTTAAAAATAGAAAATATGAAAAAAGATATCACACGATTTTTTACGTGATAAAGGGAGATGCGTTATAACGGGAACATATTATAGAACAATTATAGGAAAAATTATACATTTACGTCTATTTTTAAATAAATATTGTGTAACATAAGAGTGTAAGATCTCGAACATGAAATACTATAATAAATTAGCAAATTAGCTATAATTAGTTGACGAATTTTGTGAATAAACAGTTTCTCACGTAATGTTATATTTGGAAATGTTCTAAGCAATCGTCTTCCTTTTTTCTTTATCGCTTTTTTTAATCTCGTATTTTATTTTTATATAGATTTCCTATATAATTTCCTAATTATATAATCTCGACTATTATTATTTATTTCAGTGGATCATAAAATCCTTGTCACTCAAACTTGCAATTAAACTGTCAGTTGTCGTTATTGATATATAAACAAACATCGTGCCGCAATTAGCAACGACGACGATCGCTTTATCGTTTCCATCACAAAATAAATCATTCCACAATCACTTACTTCCGTGTCTGCTTTAATAAATCGTTCATTTTCAATGTCGCTAAATATCAAAATCCTGGATAGAAATATATGTTTCATGTTTCGAGCAACCGATACGATTAATAATCGCAATTATTTATATTAAAATTAAGGATATTAAATATTTAATTGTAAGTAGATTGAGCATGAGTAAGAGTAAGAAAGAAATAGGGAGGAGAAACTATGGTATATACGTACATAGGTATACAATAAAGATAGAAAAGCCACTTTTTATCTTGAAAGAGAATATAGAGGAATAACTTAATATATTTATATTAAAAATTGTTGTCTTCTCGCCATATATGTATTTTTTTCTATTAATTTATGTAAATATATTAATTTTTTTTTAGCTTGACATTTTACTATGATATTTTATATTATTATAAGTTTGGAAAGAATAATTAAAAAAAGGCATCTTAATATTCCAAATTCGAAATTATTTTCTTTCTTTTTCTTTTTGTATAATTGTGTTACAAAAAATGTATTATTTTATACACTATATAATTTCTTGAAACGAAACCTATGAAATGCACAATGTATATGGAACGATCTAAATATATAGGAACTAAATAATATTATAATTAATATCACTTGACATTTATATTCTGTCAATTAAAAAGTAGATAAATTTCCCAGTATTTTTAACATAACTGAATTTTTTTTCGTAAAAATTAATCGTTTTTAAACGATATTTTTTTAAGGTGGCGATTTAACATTATTAGGTCAATGACAACGAAGAAAAACTATGCTAGTTTACTATTTCGAACAACGTCTCGTATTAGCTATAGGTCACGACGTCAGAAAGCAGGGAAAATTTTCCGATGTTCGAACATATTATGGTCGAGTTCAGAGAATCGATTCGACGCAACAGGCGGAAGGAAACAATATCTATCGCGGTCAAACTGACCAGATTGCCCTTAGGGTTTTTGGCGTTTTCATTTCCATGCACGATATAAATGCGCCAATTAATTGAATATAATAATCGAAAAATTAATCGATAGATTACAAGCGAATCGTTGTAATTTCAAGTGAATATATTTCGTATATTTTTCGTATATATTATTCGTGTCATTTTATCGCTCTATTATATAATGCCATAGCCACGGGGCCATAAATTAGCTGATAAAACGGAGTGAGAACGATTTTTCGAAAAATTTGATGATTTATTTCTTTCATAAATTTATTGATTCGTTATATATACAGAATGAATGCTAATTCCGCGGATTTTTAAACATATATATATATATATATATATATATATATATATATATATTAGTTGGACGTATAATCGGAGCGCAAATTCTCTAATAAAGTATATTAAAAAAGAAAACTCATCATGAGAGGTAAATAGTTATATAATTTGTAAATAACTGCATTAAAAAATGAAAAAAAAATAAAGCGTTTTCCAATGCTAATGCAGTATTTAATCTAAACTGCAAAAGAGATGTATTCTCTGCGCTTTTAACATAATTGTTTTTTGATGTTTAATTTTTGCCATCTTCGAGACTATAATTTCGAGTCATCTTTGACGTAGGGTATGATTAAATGCACATAGACGCCGTTCGTCGCTCTTTTGCACCACGATGTAATATTATCCGTTGGCAAAAGCGTTAAACGACGTCGTTAATATATTGCGATACTCCTCGGCGTATCTTGGCGCATCACGGTTTTAGAACATGTTCTCCATTCATGCGAAACCAGCGTAATATAGCGTAATATTGAAACGAGGGTCTCGTCGGCTGCTCACTCCTTTAGAGGATGTATGTTGAAAAAAAACAAAAAAACGGAGTGAATAAAGTAGCGAGAAAAAGTGAATCCGAGTTAAGTATCAATGCTGGCTGATTATGCGGGGATTTATTTACTGCAGCTTTCTGCTGACGAATTAATTATTCATTACGATAATTGATATGCGACATTTCACATTTCATGCTCTGGCTCTTATACATATTTTAAAATGAATACACGTATACAGAAAAAAATATTGTATTTTTAATATATGTATAATATAATTAATAAACTTTTCAAGTGAAAAAGTTTATTAATAAATAATTGGAGTAAAAATTGCTCGGGGGAGATTATTATAAAATAAAGTTTTATCTGTCTACACATATAAGTTTTTATCTATCTTTATATTAAAAGTTTTGAAAACGTATGACTGCGATTTTATTTTCTATTTAAACTGTCAAAAATCTAAAATGTTTTATTAATAGGTACATTAAAAACACATTACAGAGATACGTTAGAAATATAGCACGTTGAGAGAATTTGACTACATATATACCTACTATTTTAATGAACTGTCTTGTGTAAAAGAGGGAACCTGTTTTCGAAAGATAAATTACGACCTATATATTTTCAGTAACCAGACTTCTCTCGGAAGAACGTTTATTTATTTATTTAAAGCGTTCAAAGTTTTTCGGATCAATAACATGGTTGCAGGAAAATAAAACAATTTAATTACGACAACAGGAGTTAATATAATTTATAATATTTATGAATGTTAATTCAATCAGATTTGTTGAACTTTCTTACTGAAAATACCTTTTGATATTTCGAAAATAAGTTGCTTTTATTTGCATAAAACATGCATAAAATATTTGTACACACAATAATAATTTATTGTTGTTTATTTAATTGTATATTTTCGAGTAAATAACAATTTGCTTTGAAATATCGTATACATTTTTTCAGAGCAAATAAGAATTTTTACATTTCTGACTGAATATGACATTATGACATTGGTGACGATTTTACAAATGCACTACGCAATCGGATTCTCATTACGTAATTTATATAGACTGACCGGTGGCGCGTAATTTTTTGCCTTTCTCTTTCTTATTGATGAAAGCATTTTACTATCGCACACACGCGACTCAATCGTTAAAAGTATCGACTATTATATAATTTATGCTATATAGTGTTCTTTGCATTAGCGCGCGCGTCGTTTACGTGTACATACATATTATGCATACATATATGAAATCAGATATGTATCGCGTAAAAATATTCTCAACATGGCTACATTTCTGCGTTAATACACACGGAATGAAAAATCTGCTACATCGTAAAAAAGCTGCATTATCAAAGATACGTACATGTATAATATCATCTTTTTCAATGCATTATTACGCATTATTTTTTGATATTATAAAATTATATATTATGATACATGTTTCAATTTTACTTTGACGTGTAAAACAATTAATATTCAACAAGATATGAATTATATAATTTTATAATTACGACGTTGGAAAAATTGTCGCGCATCTCGATGTCATAAAATAATCTGCATCTCTTGATAATTGGTAAATGAATAATCTTTTACAGTTATTGATTTTTTATTATTTTTATTAAATATTATAAAACAAATATTTTCTCTGTGATATTACTTTCCAAAATTCCATTTTGAAAAACCCGTTGCGGATAATAAAATGACGAATCAATGTCCAAAGTGAGATGAAATTAAAATTATAATCGATAAATTGCGACATTTTCCGGGACGAAGAAAAGCGAATATATATAAATATAGTTATATTATATAATTATTATATTTATATTAGGTATTTATATATTTTTATTATATATTTTCAGGAAATACCATCCTCATGCTTGGCAGCAGCAGTATTCTTAGGACCACTTTAAGTAAGTAAATTAATTAAAACTTTTTGCTTTATATATATATATATATGTATATATGTGTGTGTGTGTGTGTGTGTGTGTGTGTTGTATAAGATAGTAAATTATGTAAATATATGTAAATGCGAAAATTTTCAATATTGATGTTTTACGTCTATCTCAATCGTAATAAACGTAAAGTTAATTGACATTAAAATCTAAAATTTTCGCATTTGCATGTATTTACATATATTTTATTTGTTTTATGTTTTATTAACTCGAACAAGTGTTTATACATTTTTATATGTATATTTGTATTGTATATATAATGATATATGACAAGCGGGAAAAGAATGCGAATGCATAAATATGAATTTTTGAATGATATGTATTAAAGTCGCTCGTAAAATTTCAATTTAATGATGTATCGCATCACGCGAGTGTCACAATTAAAATGCGGAACTGTATTTCGTTTGCTACACTACGAATGCGAAAAGACCGATATCGCTCGCGTATTTATTCGCACAAAGATGGATTTATTTATTCACGTCGGCGCGGCGGTCTCGATATATATATGACGGCAATTTTTCGTTCTGTCCTCTGGCACATAAATAAAGTTTTTCGAGCCCGCTTTTTACGTCATGTGATATAGGTACTCGAGCACACCCGCGCGATCGATCTTCTCCCAAGTCGACGATTGAGAGAACTTTGTTTTCGATATCCCCTTTTCCGTGTGCGCACCGCTAATCTGTTCCCGTAAATCCCGTATTAACTCTCTGGATGTGTGAATGTGGACTCGTTGCGATACACTTGGCGAAGCATTACCGTATCTACTCCTTCGTATTATATCGGAAAAACTATTGTTAGTTGAGTATTCTGCTGAATATTTTGCGTTTTGTTGTTGCAAAACGCGAATCGATTATTGTATTATATATCGAGATTATTTTGAATATTATCGAGAAAAATTGCACAAGAATTTTTAAAAAATTATGCGCGCGATTGAAAAAGTTTACGTTATCGTGAATTTTATTTTCAATTTAATGTCGAGAATTATAGAGTTTTAGAAATAAATTAATTAAATTTAAAAAGTAAATAAAACAGAATAATATATTTTTTTATGTTATGCTTTAATTATATAAATTTTTAATTAACTTTAGTAGAAATAAGACTTCATTTCGAACGGTGCATGGAATTGAAACTCAAGGATAATTGATTGTGAGATTATAATTGCATATATTGAATAAATGAAGAAAGATTAATTCAAATTTAAGAAATGCTACTAATTCTGCAATCGCTTTTAAAAAATAATTCCAATTTATTGTGCATGATAAAATACTTTTTCTTTTTTGTTCTAATTGAAATGTCCATTTAATTATCTTATATAATTGCAGCATTAGGTACTTTATTTAATTATTTTATTTTCAGAATCATATTTAATTATATTGTATATTCTAATGAAGCTAGTAGCACTTTAAATTGAAGCATTTTATGTTATTTTTCGTAATACGTTGACTTAATTTTATGTATATTTTACATACACATTTTGCAAAATCTACAAGTTAAATGAAAATGCATCATATTTTCGGCTTTGGTAATCGCATTTTGGACATAATTCTAATAACATTACTTACACAATTTAATTTAACGATTATTTTTGTGATTATTTTTTGTAATAAAAGATATGACAAAAAATCTTATATCACGCCGACATTTTCAAATTATGAAGAGTATTATTATAATAGATGCAGGATAGAAATTTTTTGGTATAAAAAATGTCTTTATTATTTAAATTGAAATATAAATCTGACATTTAATATTTTAAAAACTAGCATATATACATTTTTGGAGCTATCATGATAAAACTATTTTAAATAAACAGCTCGATTTCAAGAGAGGTTTCTCTACACTGAAAAAAGCTATTGATTTCAAATAAATGTGTATTTTAATAGTGCTATTAACGCCATTTGTTTGAAACAAAATAAATATTTATATATTTTGAAAAAGGATTTCTTAATTATCAAATATGTATTTTTTTACAGCAAATCAATATTATTAGTTTTAAACAAATGGTGTTAATGGCACTATTGAAACAGATATTTTTTTTGAAATCAATAGCTTTTTTTCAGTGTACATATACACATACATACGTATGTATACATATAACGTTTCATTAAATCTTTATATTATTATAAATAAATTGATGAATCTAACATGTGTATTAAGTATTAAAAATAACAAATGTTAAAAAGATTAGTAAAGCTTATGTAAAAGTAATACACAATTTATTAGCATATTTTTTTACTAGGACTTATCGTGGCCAACTTTATCATTTTATTGTATAATAAATTACCGGAGCAAGAAACATCGTACACTGAAAAAAAAAGAATTTATTGAAATCGAATAAATATTTATTTTAATACTGCCTAATAAATCATTTATTTGAAACTAATAATATCAATTTAACGTGAAAAATATTTATTTGATATAAGAAAATCCTTTTTAAAAATAAATATTTATTTGTTTCAAATAAATGATTTATTAGGCAGTATTGAAATAAATATTTCTTTAATTTGTTTTCATTGTAGTAAATATCATTGTAAACATGGGATATAAAAGTATTGTTATATGGAATCGACCCGTGATTATAAAGCATACGGTTTTCGCAAACATTAATTCGTGCGAAATTTTCTATTCTCGACATACGAGAGCCGTCATTTCTTATCCAGGATGTATACTCAAATCTTAGAAATAAATTTCCTGAGGATTCCATGATTTTTCAGGCGCTTTTGTTCAAAATCCCAGGTAAAATTAAAGTATTTTAAATAATATTTAGAATACAATTTTGAAATAAGTTTATTTGTTATACATAATTTTTTAACACAAAGTATTTTTTTAATATAATAATATAATATACTTTATATTTTATGTAAAACTAATAAATTTTATTTTCTTTAAAACTATATTTTAAAATAAAAGGGGCAATTTAAAAAAAATGTCCCGAGTTTAAATCAAGTTCCATAATTCCAGGATTTTTCAAAGTAGAACAAAATTCCCTGAGAATTGCAGGTTTTTCCAGGGAGTATACACTCTGTTACCCTTTCATAATTTTAATCGAAAAGATCGTTGAAAAACATATTCTCATGTCGCGTCGCGTCGGCGAGCCGAAAAAGCTTGGGAAATGTACGGGATGTTCGATTGAAACGAGGGTTGTCACTTGCAGAGCCTCCAGGAGCATGGGCTCGAGCCGAAGATCCGGCTCCGGTGGGAGCCGGGCAAACGCCGGCGTTCTCAAGGAGCGTGCCAACATGTCGTTCATGCTGGTCGTCATGTTCTTCGCCGTGTTCGGCCTGATCGTCCTCACGGAGATATTCCTGATCGACGAGAGGCGCGGCGTGAGCGTCGGCGGCACCGGCGTACTCGGGGGTCACAGGAGCGGTCATCGATTGCCGGCTGCGCCCGATCGTCCGGATTACGGCGAGGTGGGAGTAAGTAAAAGGAACTCCAGCCTTCTTTTTAACTTTTACCCATTTAATCACACTTCTTTTTATTCTGGAGTTAAGATAGATTTTCACATCTGATCATCGTGTTCAAATATTCGTATCATATCACGGAGTCTGTCACAATTTGACAAATCTATTTATACCATGATTTATTAATTCTTCGACCTAACTGGTACGGGTCCTTTTCAAGTGTTACTGCAAAATTATACATATATATATATGTATATATATTTTACATTTCACACAAAAAAGTACAATGACATATTATAATTAAAGTAAGAACGTAGTTATAAAATATTACAACAGAATTTAATGTTACCTTTTATGTCAGTTCGAAAGATGTGATATTACTAATGTTAAAAACGAAGACAAGTTAAACCTGTCACACGTCTGTTTTAAACAAAGAAGATTACAAAAAGAACGCTCTATTTGTACATCGAAATTCCTTTAAAAGCTGGCATTCGCGCTAAATGTTAAAGAAAACTAATAAAAGTTTAAAGTGGAAAAAAATTTGGTAGGATTTTTAAATGCTCGAATTTTTGCCACTTTTTTACATATTTTTCCTTCGGTATCGTAACACATACCTCCGACAATTGCGAAAGCCGAGTGATAAGTATAATTATTTGCCACAGCAATTATAATATATTTGTCTTTTTTTCGCTCTGTTTTTTCACGAAGCAAAAATATTTGAAATAGATAATTTTTGAAGTTATACCAACGCGACTAGCAATTACGAAGGAAAGAGTTTGCCAGAAAGATAGACGAAACTGCCTTGAATTTCTAGCTTGCAGAATTCTTAACGTAAACTCGAAGAAATAAAACTGTAGAAACATCTGTTTTTTTTCTTTTCAATAATAATCGAACGAAAAAGGTAGAAAAAGATAGTTCAAAAAAAGCTCTTGGGAGTTTTCCATTTTACACGAAACACTTATTATCTGTGACGAATTATTTTGCATACAAAAATAAAGCTGCTTTAAAAAATACATAATTCGAGCATATTACAATGTTTGTAAAATAAAAAAAATACGAACGGAAGGAAAGATAAGCTTGTATTTTTCTTGTGTTAGATCGTATTAAAAAATTACACAAAATACGATAAAATTATTTCCACAATAGCATTCTTATTTATCTTTTGTTATTTTACATATCATTATCGCTGCGTTTTACGATAACTTATCTCTACTTGAATTTAAAATCTTTTAAAATTTAAAATTCAAAAGTACTTGTTTAACATTTGTAATTATCTTTCTTTTCATTCAGTTTATTGTCTTCTCATATATATATATACACAATATATATTGATATATTGCACAATAAAGAAAAATAAAGGAATTTATGTTAAACAAAAAGTACAAATAAAAAAACGTAACTTTTAAATTGAAAATAGTTAAGATATCATATATATTTGAAAAAAAGGTGGAAAGGCATCTCTTCTCCTCGCATCCCTCGAAACATTTTCCGCTCCAAAGTAAAAAATATGAGCGGTCCGGGCTTGTCGACTTTGTACGGCTGTTCCTCTCTCGTGCGAAAGTATGGACAAAGCAAACGCATAAGCGAAGCGCGACGACGAAACTCGGGCGAGAAGGCCGAAAACTTTGGCCGACCACGTACAACATCGATTTTTCCCGTCTCACGTCTTCTTTTTACCCTCCTTCTTCCTAGGCGATGTGCCTGTTGCAAACGTGCCTGGTATAGTTTATGCACCCTTGCGTCTAGCACCGGACAATGATTCACGCGAACCCCTAAGAACTTTGAAGGAGAAACAGCCGCGCAGCATGCTTGAACGATGCCCAAACGTGGCACGGAAAAGACATACGACCGCGTTGCGGAAAAGTTTAACCGGATACGAGCGAACGGCCACCTGACAAATTAGTTTGCTCGATCCTGCGGAACTTTCTTCATCCGTTTACATCTCCCGTCGAGACACCGACGCCGCGAGAAAGCTCGAGTATATTCGAGTTTAAACTCGCGCTTCGGCTTCTCAAGGACTCGTCGACTGTCCGAACAATCTTTGACTTTAAATTTAAGAATCGACCCGAAGAAAAGAGTCGACGTGAATCTCGAACTTTTACACAAATTTTAAATTCAACCAGCTAGAAAGAGTAGATGGTAATTCGTCACTCTCAGGGACAATTAATTTTTCATTCAATCTGCGTGTAGGACACCAATTTTTCTTGGTCCGACGCCAAGTGATTAAAATAAATCTCAATTCGAGATTGTTGTTTTAATCAACTTTCCTGTGATACCTACCCTTAAAGAAGCATAAGCGAGAAAAATAATATAATAGTCATTATAAGTTTTAATTGCTCTTGTAATATATTTCCACATATATATATATATATAGTATCTAGAGATTTTCATAAAGATACAGACGCGTATTTATCATTATCGCGGATAGTCGATTCTCATTAATGATATACACAATCAGAGTATTAATCTTTGTATACGCCTGAATGATTAAAACGGTGATATGTCCGCAGGCCGAAGATTACGCCGGTTTGAAGGGTAGCTTTGATGAGCACGTCGGGTTGTTGGTTCGCGGAGAGGACGCAGGGCAGAAGACGATAATACACCCGGATCCACGTGGCTTACCGAGCTTACCGCCCAGCTTGGAGGCCCGTTTACCGCAGTTGGATCAGAATCTGAAGGTTACGCATGCTGAATGGTTACCAGTCACCAATACTAGGTTCGTTTGTTTAATAATCACGCGACAATCGAATAATTCGTGGAATTAGAGACGCTCATTGAGTGCAAAATTCATTTCATCTTGTTTCGTATATTAGGAACACATCTGAAACTCTGAAAACTCTTACTTTACATTTTTATTCTTTGATTTTATCTCGTATTATCAGAAAAACTCTTATAAAATTCTTTCAATACCATATATTGTCCCACGATTACCATGATTTTCAGGGTAAATTCTAAGAGAAAATTCTCTCCGTGTATTACGTGTGTATTATATTGTAGATAGGACGAGATGAAAATTGAATTATACATGGGGGAATTGAAGAGATGACGAAACGTGCTTTTACTCGATTTTTCCAGGTTTAAATTCTTCGTTTACTCGGCGTATTTCGACGACAGAGTTAGCGGCGCAGGTACGCCAGCGGGTAAAAGTCAGGGTGTAGTACGCGTGATCAGCGCTACAAAAACCAGAGGCCCCGAACGCGTCTGGTGTAGACTCTGGTATCGACAGCAAAACGGCGGAAATGTCACTGCCTCGGTAACGGTAGCTGCGAAAGTTAAGGTATGCTCCTTCTAAAGGGAATAATCTTGATTCTAATCATCATAAATTCAGAATTACCATTTTATTCTGTTTGCATGTATGTAACTTTTCTATTTACTTGTGAGATTATGGTTGAATTGTTTTTGTGATATATATATATAAATGTTTGGGCGATCAAATTGTTGTTCCAATATATTGTTTGACTTTCGTTATTGGAACAAAGTATAATCTTCGATGATTGGAAAATATCCGATATTTTTATATCGTCCAAATTCAAGTGTTGTAGGATATGTAGCGAATGTACGCTATGATTTTCAGGTAATTCGAGAAAATTGGAATCTCAAGTACAGTGCCTGCTTCGTGATATGTCCGTTGCCTAAAGAATCTCCGACAATGGATAAGGTGCCCGAAGCGGTCAGTGTTGTAGCGAGATTGCGAGCTGTCCCGACGAATCGTATTCTCATTCAGAATCGTCTCGAAAACAGAATGAACGAGAAAGATGCTCTGGCTGTTTGCGTCAAACCTTTACACTATTATTACAATAGAGTACGTATTACGTATTATTAAAGTACGTATAAGCAGTACCATCAACTGCTGGACGTGTGATGTTTGCATCTGCAGACAGAGAATATTCCGAGAAATTTTTCAAATCTTTATTTATTCGTGCTTATTGTTTATACTTTTTATCGTTCTTATTTTATGCTTGTATTTATACTTGTGGTTATTATTACTTTTACATTTGCATGCTATTCTGCATTGAAAATGCAGCATTGCATTGTATGGTATGTACATGTATATAAGTAAGTTTGCAGATGCATTCTCTCTTATATATATAATAAAATAGAATTACTATCAATTTTATATCCATCATGCTATGAAACTTTCGCGGTTATTTTAGTAGAAAAGCGGAGTACACGACAAATATTTCAACTGACATTTTAACTGACGTTTATAGGTTTTGCAATTGGTGGAGTTTATCGAATTGCACAGACTCTTGGGTGCTACCCACGTCACTCTGTATAACGATACTGTAGGCGCGGCAGCCGGTTGCGCACTGAAATATTACGAGAATAAGGATCTGGTTACAGTATTACCGTGGCATCATCTTGACATGATTTCCCAACGAGAGATTCGTACGGAGGGCCTCTTTGCGGCGCTTAACGACTGCCTCTACCGATCTATGTACAAATATGAATATGTGGCGCTCGTAGATCTCGATGAATATATTATGCCGAGGCATAACGACACCATAATTGATCTGCTACGGTATGATACTTTCTTATTTCAATTATCATTTTTTATCAATTATTATTATTCTTATATATTTCTTACAAGTTGACAATGATTTCGAATAATTGTTCACTTTCAATTTACCAATTTTCACATTTATTCACTTCTTGTTTGTCTTAGAATTCTTTCATTGTCAGTCTATTAAACAGAGTGATTATATAAAGTTTTATCGTGCTTTTGAATGATTTATAGAATTATATTTTGAATAAAACAAAATTAAGTATGCATTAAATTCTGTATTTATAAAGAGTTATAAATTTTAAAATTTGAAAAAAGAATTGTATGTGCAATGAAAGAAATAAAAAATCCCATTTTACTGCTCTATTCTATATCACGCAATGAATATACATATTGATTAAATTTGAATTATACTGTGTATGTAAAGCGAGCTATATTTCTGTTTTATATATAGCATTGAGAATTTTAAATTATTTTGAAGCTATTCGGAAAAAGTCTCTTATATAAAGTTTTATTTATAATGATTTTATAAAATAATGATTTTATTTATAATGATTTTCACAGATATCTTGTGAAGCATCGATAAAATATCGTAAATTATTCTGTATTTAAATATTTATAGACGAAAAATTGAGTCTTGCATTCGTTGTGAATATGCATTAATTTGGCAACAATTGATTCCTAGGTGGATGGGAAATCGGATCAATGTTAAGTCTACGGGTGCGTTTTCCTTTCAAAACGCCTTCTTTTATCTGCAATGGGCCGATGATCCCTTTGTGGTAACTAGTCGCACACCCACCGAGGCTGGTTTGATCACTCTGAGAAAAACGCGACGCAGGACCAAGTTGCATCCGCACAAGCAACGTTCCAAGTACATTTGCAAGCCGCAAGACGTAGTGGAGGCGGGCAATCATTTTGTATGGGAGTTTATCCCAGGTCATGGAACTTTGAACGTGCCATCAGATGCCGCCATCTTGCACCATTATCGTGTCTGTGAGTTTGGCGGCGACGATTGCATTAAAACGCAATCGACAGTGGATAGAACGGCCTACAAGTACAGAGATCGGCTCGCTGCGAATGTCGACAAGACATGGATGGAGCTACGCGCCGAGTGCTCGCTTCCGGAACTCGATCCGGTACCAGTATTGACGCCCCGAGTTAAACTCAGCCCGCTCGGCAAATCGATCAGGTAGCGAAAGACTATCGTCGAGATCCTATGGGATATTGGCAATTTCACAGGTACACCAAAAGTCGCAAGGACCTATTTCTACAACTACGGCGGTCCTTAGTTCTCTTGAAAAGAAAGCTGAACTAAGCGGGCTCCTGTCCTTTTTTACCAAATTCTCAATGGACTGTTTCTAAATTTGTAAAATGGAGGATAATACGGGAACTTGTAGAGATTATCGCGAAACAAAAAAAAAAGCAAAAAGAAAGAAAAGGAAAGACGCAACGCTTTAATCGAGACACGGATTAATCATATTTTTCTACATGATGGATTCTTGAATGGCTGGCGAAATTGGAGACAAGTTGCCACAAGTCGATCGAGTTGTCTTGATACTACATGGTGGACTTCCTCCCTTACAGTTTTATACTCTCTTGTATCTGTATCTTTCTCTAATTCTTTTACTCAATCAGCAAGTGTGATCATTTGCGACAAAATGTATTATTGTTAAAGAGAATTGTTACGGAGGGCCTAAATCACGGACTAAAAAAAGCACTTGGTGATAAACGACGAGCAAGATTAGATATTAACCCTATTGTACCGTTGTTTCGAGTAAATTTTTTTTTAATACTTGTAAATCCACACAATGTATATCTTACGCATATCCATAGAATCAATAAATAGCATAGTGATGTATGTATAATATGTATTTAGAAGAGTGTTAGATATTCGATCTGCAGAGACAGAGCCTAGGAGATATGCAATGTTCTCGAAAAATATTATTTCAAATACAATCCGTCGGAGATTTGTTACAAGTCCAATGTTGAAAGGATGTGAATTTACTTAAACAGAGAGATACTATGTGTAGTATCACCTATAATAATTTTTTTCCAACATTTTATAACAAGTCTGAATTTATTTGTTTTAGTTGTGTGAAATATATATTTTCTTATATATATTTCTTCTCAATACAAAATCTTGAATAATCATGTTTCGTACGATAAGTTATAATGTAATCCAATAAAGGTGGATTATTAAGTTGCAGGATTATCAGTTCCTAATTTTTAATAAAAAAATATTTTTTACATAGGCAAAAAAGTCTGTGAAAATATAAATCTCTTTTTTCTTTTTCAAAAAGATGAATATATTAATTTGTTGCGCAAGAGATTGTATGATTATCTGATTTATCATTGCTAGCTAGATTATTTAAGTAACAAATAAACAGCGAAACATTTTCGTTGTACGCACACAAGCAAACATAGGCCGATGATGAAGTCGCACAAGTGAATTTGGTAGAAGGATAAAATGTTTCAAATAGGTACAATTTGCCCGATAATAAGAGGAACATTATTGGCAACAGATTCGGGCTAGCGATACCGATTTGTTGCCAAATGCCGCTGTGGCCGACACGTCTAGCAAAGTCTTTCTATATCTTTGTTAAAATATATAAAGGATCGTGTTTCTTACGCGTTTCTTACACAAGTTTATGTATATATGTGTATACAAGCATGTGCATACGTGGACACACGTACGTGGCATATACGTTAGACCTAAGTTACATACATGTGATCGGTGCTGAGCTACAATCGACAATGCGTCGACATCGACGATTATGTTGACGAAAATAAATATGATATTAAGACAAAAAATTTATACTTGATTTCCTTGAATATTTATCGCATTATTTACAAATTACAAACTGTATTAATTATTTATATAAATTTTATTAATATGTTACATATTAATAAATGTTCAATATTTGTTTCTGTACAAGTACAAGAGAAGAGAGTTTGAAACTGGTACCGCGTTGAGATAAATCCCTAATGTGTTTTTTGAAACTACCATTCGCGTATATACATATATAAATCGAATTATATATATATATATATCAATTTTTAGCTACTATTATAAAAAAACATGCTAGATAATTAGAAGAGAGACCATTGTACCGATTAAAAATCATCGTCCGAATGTCTGTCTATCTTACTAACAGATCGCTTTTCTTGGGCAGCTTTAAGATCATATCCGCCGATATCCGGTGCGCCCACAGAATTCAAAAGATCATCGTCATCGTCATCGTCATCGTCGAGATCACCGTCGATTAATAAATCACTATCGCTGTCCAATGAGCCGTCGCTATCGTTTGATTCTTGAATCGTACCCCTTTGTCGTCCAGACATGCTACCATAAATGCGCCGCTGTGTGTATTGCATCTTCGATGCTTTCGCACCTAAAATATTTTTTATTTGTTATTTTGAAATATCCCCCAAAAGAATTAATTTTTTTTCTCTTCATTTTTTTACTATCTTTCCAAATATTGTATTAATTTGTAAATTTGTTTTCTAGATTTGCAGTACGTTATATTATGCAAGTTGTTTATTTTATTACTAAAATTATTACTTGGTTTGATACGAGCGGATTGGCCAGATTTTTCCGTCGTTGTAGTCTCTGGATTTGCAAGAGAAGTAACTAATGGTTCTTGAAGATTCGTAGCGAATAAGGAATCGTTTCCTTCCATCATGCTTTCAAAATTCGAATCTTCGCCTCTCATTTGCTCCAATTGCTTCTTGGTCGCAGCTTGCCTGAAATTGAAAATAATATATAATCAATTATATAATTTATTTTCTTTTTCTATTTCTATATTTATACCGTCTTTCGAATCTTTCTTGCTCCGCTTTGGCTGTGTCTTCATACAAGTGTTCCAAGTATGCCAAATATCGAAACTTTTGTAAATAATCATCGTATAAAGTTCTCAGCTCCATCTCGAGCTTCTCGAATTCCTCCATGAATGCTGGACGAACTTTCTTCAATGTGTGAAGTCTCTTTTGATTCCTATCGAGTTCCGTTCGTCGTCTCTCGATTCTGGTATCCAAGTTTTGTTCCGTATCCTTTTTTAATACATATTTAAGAAATAAATTATATTTATCAATTAATAAAATTATTCTATTATTGGCTAAGGAAAGAGCAAGTATAAATATTTCGATAGCAAATTTAAACTTTCTAAAGATAATTTTATAAGGTAAAATTTTTCACCTTAACATTGTCAATTTGCTTCTTGGTTTCATCGATCTCTTTACGAGCACTCTCGATAACGTCTTTCAAAGCCGCTTCTATTTCCGAGGTGTCAAATTGCCTGGCAATCTTGGTATCGCGAATCTCTCGAAGTTCCATTTCTCGGCCAAGTAAATCGAAGAGAGTCGCCCCGTTGATAGTTAATTGACTGGCAAGCTGCCGCGTCGTTTTCAGTTCATTAATTTTATCGGATATGTCAAAATTAACTGCACTCCGATTGTCACCGCCAGATCGATTGTCCTCCGTGCTCCAACTATTTTGTGCATCGTACAGCATTGCAGCAACTTTCAACATTTCTTTTACCGCGTAGCCGTCTGCCTGATACAGCTTCTTTGTGTTCAATTTGATATTTACTTTCAACGCCTGCACCACATAAAAAAAAAGAACCGATCCACCAGAATTAGAAATATGAATTTGACATTTTGTAGAATAAATAATACATAATAATTAATTAATTTGAAATACTTGACTAGTTAGTAGAGAATAAATCGAAGGAATCATTATTGTATCGTGTACGCGCAATATTTCAATATTATTATACCATAAACTCAGCCACACTACGTATCAACGTCACGCGTTGCTCCTCGGTATCGTGTTCGTCTGGGATATCGACGTCCGGATCGAATTGTTTCGTCAACCAAACTAAAATTTCTGCGACCAAAGGAAAATTCGGTACGCGAAAATTCGCAAGGGAAATCAGCCTTGGATAGCCCAGCGCTCTCATAATCTCCGTGAAATCTAAAAAGAGATGTAAATCGAGCGCAATTATCATTCCACGTGTTCTCCACGTAAATATGTCAAAATAAAACAAAATAAATTATTTGTCATTTACGCACTACGTAAATCACGGTAAGACATTTTCAGACGAAAAAGTTGGCACTCGATCACTGGTCGCAGATTTATTCGCAGTGCATTCCGTATTCTAATTTCTAATGTGTTTTCTTATTTGCGTCGTGAACGTTACCATAGGAACCACCACTTGTACTTGGGACGGATAAGAAGCGTGGGGGAATCGATATGCTCTTTTAAGAATAACATAAATTCCAATTTTATTTACGAATGTTAGATTATGTTATTCAATTTAAATTCAATAATATAAAAAAGCGATAATAAAAAAAGAATTTTCGTGATTTTTCGCGCGTAAAATATCTTGCTCGACAAATTATTAAAAATATCGTTATTTTTTAACAAAGGTGGAAAAAGATTGCATTCTGCTTTGAAACTTATAATCGCATGTTAACCGAATGAAAGCCTTTCTGCAAACTTTACAGATTATTTAAATTCATAATTCCATGTATATTATATATATTAAAAAATGTTTATTTGATTGATAATTTGGTCCTATATAACTGTACAAGGTTTGATAAGTAACTTAAATGATTACATGAATCGACTTAAAAGTCAGGCGGAGGGGCTCTTCTACTATGTTTGATATCCGAACGAATTCTCTTCTCGTGTAGTCTCTCCCTATTGGCTTTCAATATATTTTTCCTCTTTTTCTCCAATGATTCGAATGATGGTTTCGATGGCTCTACTAAAGTAGCCCTTATCATTGTTCTTAACTTTTCAAGAGCATCCGCCAGGTTTAAATGTTGAGACCTCGTCAAGTCTGATTTGATTATTAAATACCCATCTTTGTTCATCTTGTTTTTATACTGGAACGATAAATTTATATCTCTAAGAAGCAGCTACTTTTATCTAACTCTTAGGTGGACAAATTTATAATTTATATAGATTATAAATGAACATTTGACACATAGATACGGGCAATATGTATAGCACTATTCACCTGTTCCGCTAATTTTGTTTGAATTTCTTCCGACAACCAGCTAGCAGTGTTCACTTGGAATCTTAGGTCTACTTTGGTATTTACACAGTTTACATTTTGTCCCCCAGGACCACTGCTCGCGCTATACGTTATTTGTACCTTGTCCATAGGTATGTAACCACTAAATTTTGCTTTAGGATCTGGTATCTGGAAAAGAAAGGTTAGGTTATTCACGGCATAGCAAGGCGTTATTAGATAAACGTATATCGAAGTGAAAGACTCAATTTTACATTTATTATACAAGTATTTTTCAGATAAATTGATATGCGCTTACAAAGTTTGCGGTAAACAGCTTCTGTTTGCTTTCCGGATACAGTTTCTCTAGCGATACATTACTCTTAAAGCTAAAAGCTCTGCCGAAATTGCACAACGCGCTCTGACTTTTAACGTTGCCGTGTAAAATCCTTAAAAACTGTCTGCTAAGAAAATTCATCTCGAGTCTTATTAATTTTTATACACTTTGATCGAGAAACAAACTCCAAAAGGGCGAAAACATAACCCCGCAATCTCTCGGAGTCGCTGTTACAATCGCAGCAGGTACGTCATTCGATTCGATTATCGATTCTCGACTGTATTCGATACGTCGCGAATTTCGTGGAGTGCGCGCGCGCGCGAGATTTCACACATTTATTTCTAAAATCTTTTCTTCTCTTTTATACGCGCGAGTCAATGTCGATAAATAGTTAAAATCGGAAAAACAGTGAAAAACTGTAAAATACAAGATTATTGTTTTTCAATTATTTTTCGAGATCAAAGCCATCTTTCCTTTTTCTCGATACACCGTGAAGTGAGTCTCGAACCTGTCGTTTCGCGGCCGCGGAAAGTACCTTGAACAGTCTCGTTGTCGCGTTTACTCTCTTGGCGCAATAGGATTTTGCAAGCGGATTGCGGCATAAAGCGCATATTCTGAAAATCATAGTAATAACGGACGCGAGAACGATCCGCTGCAAGGACACGGAACTCCGCGGCTGTTTTTCCCGGTGAAATACTGTGACAAGGTTAAGTCTCGCTTCGCGGGTTAACGCTCCGACATGATGGAAATAATCGAAACGATCGCCGTTTCTATCGGGCTAAAAATAAGATCGGATAACGACATTGCGCGGACGTGTTAATAAATGTCAATTCTTGGACTCGACAATGCCATATCGCTAATTATAGTGAAAAGCAGGCGAGGATCACACACAGAGAGCATTCCGCAGCTGCAATGGTATGTAAATTATTCTTTTTCTACACGGATTATATTATGTTAGACATTTTAATAGGTTATATCTCTTCTCTAGCGCAACATCATATATATATATATATATATGGAGTTAGACATCGATTAGTAATATGATTTATATATATTTTATTTAGGGATTTCGCAATTATGAAATTATATATATGTCTACCATATATACATATACATGAAAATATTTATTGAATTTGAATAAATATTTATTTTAATACTGTCTTATAAATTATTTATTTGAAACTAATATTATTCATTTGATGTGAAAAAAATATTTATTTGATATAAGAAAATCCTTTTCAAAAAAATATTTATTTGTTTCAAATGAATGATATTTATAAGGCAGTATTCAAATAATTATTTATATTAATTTAATAATTGTTTTCAGTGTAGATTATTATTATTATATTATACAGAGAAATATGCACATAGATTAATAATATATTATATATTTTAATATATATTTAAAAATATTATATTATATATATATATATATATAATTTTAATTATATAATATATATGTATATTATTAATCTATATGCGTACATATTTCTATATGATATAATAATTCTATATATATTTGAACAATATAATATAAAAAGAATAAATTTTTGTCTCTTTCCTTTTCGCGTGTCCGCGAAAATTTAAACTTTATCTTAAAAATTCAAGTTGTGAGGGGTTTAATGAATATTTTATAATAAATATTTATATTATTTAATGAATTATTATTATTCACGTAGTGTGTCGCAACATGCTTATCAACATATTAATAAGAGAATAACAATCTCTTTATTTAAAATATAAAATTTTGTAAAAATTAACAGATTTCAATGTTTGCTAATAACTGTCATAAATTAATGAAAATGTAATTGTAGAAGTTTTATGAATTTTGATATACGTGATTCAAGCTCAAATGGTTCATATACATATATAAATTCGATATAATTGCAAAATTAAAGTTTCGTGATGCATTACTATAATTAATAATACACTTATTATATATTATTTACAATAAAACTGTGATGTAACAAATATGCGTGTCTGAGCGCTTTCGATTAATTTAGCGAAACATGTTACACGTATAAGCATGCGCTTTTACATAATATATTGAAACTTAATTAACTCGGGAGAAGGAAGGGAGCGAGAGAGGAATTACGCAACGCCACATATGTATATATACATGCAGTGTAAGATTTCGCGCCTGATGTTAGATAACGGAACAGCCATTATCGTGTTCAAATAACGAATACCTATTCCGCGCGAATGATCCTTTACGAGAGCTAAGAAAAAGATTAGCGTATTGCACAATTTGGCGCGTACACTATTATAATGTATATATTCATTATGATTACAAGCGAGGATCCGCGATCTATAGAAATATTCACGATATGCAAATACTCGTTAGCGCTCTATTCAATGTCATTCATTTCTGATTGATATAGATCAATATTTCCAATTAGATTGTATCATCAATTATGTACAGGCATTAATCATCGCACATTATACGATTAACTTTTCAACAAAAATTAAATGTCTACACTGATATTAATGCTATTATATGATATATTCATTGCGTCAAAATTTCATTTTTTTTAAATTATTTTAGAAAATTAAAATTGTTTCAGTACTTCTAATTAATCTTACTTTATAATATATGGTATATGCGTGCGCGTACACATACACATACACAATGAAATTTTTAAAACGTATATTTACTTAATATTATTTTGATGAGTAAGCCTAGTCAATTGCCATTATTTCGCAATAGTAGAGATTAATTCATTACGGAGTTGAGATCTCTCGTCGTTACATCTGCAATAAAAGCGACAATGTAAAAGTCGCTATAAATTGATTGCTCAATATCATAAAGAATGAAGATGAATATTGCTATATTTGGTTACATTAAGATTTATATGTACATACTGATTTTTTCGAGTAATACATAATATACATATATATATATATATATATATATATATATATATATATATAAATGTGTTTAATTTAATAATTTAATGAACACGTAATACTTTTAATTTTTTTCTTGTAAACGATGATTAACTTCTCGATAGTGTGTTGTCGTTTTCTGTGGACAAAGTGTACAGTTTAGATCCGGTTCCGCGAGCGGAATATGTGAGACGTGCGTCCCGTTGCCTGCATAATTGATGATATGAAAATATCAGCAAAATACCGGCGAAGATGCGTTGGCTGCGTACCAGGAACAAGCGCGATTAATTAGAATAATGAAATACAATGAAATCATTAATTCATTCAACATTCTTCCACTTATACAATATGTCGAACGAGTTAGTTATTTATATATGAGAGTTCTTGTTGCTGCGATATGTGTCATTCCGAGTACTATTGCGGTTTTATCATTCATACTGACGTTCATAATATGAAAGAAATTGTTACTCATCCGCAATGATCTCAAAGTTAATATTAAAAGATGCCACGCATGCACATATACATATGTATATGTGTGGATTTAATTATTTATATGTTTGTACACTGAAAAAAGAATTTATTGAATTCGAATAAGTATTTATTCAATACTGCCAAATAAATCATTTATTTGAAACTAATAATATTGAAATCAATATTTATTTGTTTAAAATAAATGATTTCTTAGGTAGTAATAAAATAAATATTTATTAATTTAACAATTTTTTTCAGTGTATGTATGTACAAATGTGTATACATATAAATGTGTGCATCAATCATTGACAAAGAATGAAAGAGATATTTTGAAAAAAAATATAATAATTATTATTATTAAACATGAAAATTTATTTCGTTTGAATTTAGTTGCCTTGCAAGACTTCGGTTATGCATACATATATCATTTTTTACACTTTAGAACTAACGTTGCATCCCTGATCGATAAAATTCTAAAAATGTTCATAGATAAAACTCTGCACTTTTTCTTCTTTCATGACTTAACACTTAATAAATACAAGTCTCATGAATTTTATAGATTAAGAATGAATTTTACAACTGACAATGAGTTTAACTGGCGTTAAAACTAATCCATGGAATCGCTATCGTACTTTCGCTCACAATGATTGAACACACACAATAATAAGTATATATTTTTACAAAAAACTTACATGTAACTGACTTAAATTAGAGCGTATAAATTGCGTACAAGAATTCCTTTTATTACTTAATATATTAAATAGTAAGTTTTGTAAATCTCTTATCGAATCATCTGTTGCTCTCTGCTAACAAGTTTGTACATTTAATTTATTAAATAATTAACAATAATTAGTAATATAAGCATTTATATTAATCAAGAAATAGAAGTAAAGTATGGTAAGTCACGAGATCTGTCAATTATAGCCTGAACGCGATAATTGATACGTATAATAAACTGACATTATCTATTTTACACACATATATATATATATATATATATATATAAATGTAATAAAAATACCAAACGTTTCCATTTCCTTTGAACCCTCTTCAATGAAAAATAAAAGCTGACATAATAAAAATTATTGTTAACAGTGTATATAAATATATAATTTAACAATGAGTCACAAAAAACGGAAAAAATGACAGTTGTTATTAATAATGTGTCGATGAATATAAAACGCATTAAAAAAATGCATAGACTCGCGCATGATAAAAAATTGTACAACACTTAAATTATGACGCAAATTGTCAATATCACGAATAAAGGAAAAGTATTCACAATCTTGCATGACATCGAAAAAATGTCAGGACATCCTACTGTCTAGATAAGAGGCGCTGATTTTTGTACAAGTTTAAAGCAAAATAGCGAAAGAGAAAGACCCATAGCAAAGGCCAACTATGTTTCATAGAAAGAGAAAAGCGGGACATAGAGTAAATACACTTCCCGATAGTACTTAATAATCGAAACCACATGTCGCTAAGAGAAAAAAGCACAAAGCAACGCATATTAAAGGATAGGTCAAGATGCAACAGGCACAAGGCAAAAAGCACATATAAAAAGCTTATTGCGAGAAGTCATTATGTCAGCCGTATAATTAGAGATCAAAAGAAAAAGCAGGCACAAAAGATCGCGAAGGCAATATGCTCTATGAAGCGAAAGTTATGATTGCAGGCTCATCCATTACCTCTTTCACCGGGTTTTTGCGCTGTCATGCGAGATTGTTTATACTTTTCCATCACTCGCAGTATTAATGCTTTACGTCACAATTTAAATGATATACGATTTCTTATCGGACGTGAGTTTAAAAGTCCCTTCATACTTTTTATGTTCATCGACACGTTACATTGATATCGATATGAATTTCATTCGTTTTTGCGATGG